AAGAAGGCAGGCATGGGGGTTGGAAAATATGGAGCAGCCAAGGTGGAGGTGGAAAGGGCTGGGCACCCAGGATCACGCCTCTTTCTTTCTGGTTCTTCTGATAACTGTGACCCATGGACCCTCTCCAACCAATCAATCTAAGAGACCTGGAAATTCTTAACTTCTCTCTGCCAGGACCAGCTGAATGAGAATCTTGGAGCCCAGCAACAATGCTGGGTATGAGTATTGGGGATGAGATGACCACGGAAGGGTTCAGAAATCTGAGAACCAGAACACTCCACCTGGCACCGCTCTGGCCAGGAGGCAGCTGCGCCACCCCTCTCCCCTCCCGCTTTCACACACACCCCAGTTAGCCACAGCTACCATTGGTCCTGCACTGGCTGGACTGGGAGGCTTGGCCACCCGTGTCAACATGGCCAAGACTGGACTCTGACCCACCTACTCCACCTGCCCCCACCCCTCCCAGCGTGCAGTTATGGAGGAGGTACTGTTGAAAGCCTAGCCCAGCGAGCGCAGCCCCGACCCAAGCTCCCTCCAGACAGTCAGAGAGTGGACAGGGATCCTGCCTGCCCTGGACACTGACCTCCGCCAGCTGGAGTCCGGGGGAGGAGATAAGTAGGCAGGACTGTAGGGAGAGCTGTCAATGTGAACAGCACCAGTTAAGGAAAAAAAATGAGGAGATAATGGGACAGAGACCAGATAAAAGAAGAAGAATGGAGGCAGCAGATGAGCTGTTTTAAGAAACAAACACTTTTCTCCTCCACACAAGGGGCAACAATAAGGTCAAAGAATGGAAGAGAATAAGGGAATTGCGCCTAGTGGAGTTAGAAAAATGTAGAATATGTGGGCAGGGCTTTGGGGAGACAGGTGTGTGGCAGTCCCTGAGACTGCAAGCTAAGAACAGATGCATGAGGAGCAATGTGAGTGAGGAGGAGGAGGGAGCCAGACTCCTATCAGCTGGAGACCTAGCAGGGTGCTGGGCCCTGACAGCAAAGAGCAAGCTGAAGGGAGGGCAGTCAGAGGCGGGCGCAGCAGCTCCCTGTCAAAGGAGCCAGTGCCAACACACAGCCACACGGTCACTTTTCTGGAGGGCTGGACACAAGGCAGTTCCAGAACAAGGATGGGACTGTACACCTCAAGTCCCTTCCTGCCACAAGTTCCCGAGGAACCCTCCCACTGCCTTCCAGACTCCCCCAGCTCTCTGTGAAGGATATGTGGCGGGGGTAGCGGCGAAGTGGGGACACCATTCTTCGGGGATCCCGCTGCACCCGTTCCACCAGCCCATGATGCCGAGTGCTCCGGGATGAATCCAACGGTGAGTGGAGGGGGCTCTGCCAAAAGACAGGTGAGTCAACAGGGGAGGCTGCCTGAGAGCCCCTGCTCCCCGCTGGCTCATGCCCACTCACCTGGAACTCAGCCAGGCCACAGCCAATCTGGTTAACGTTGGGCAGAGAACCACCATAATGGGAGCTCCTCGTATATGCCAGTCGCAGTTTTTGGGCCTGTAACTGAGACATGGAGGATCACTGGGAACGTGAGGGAGAGTCCTGAGCATTGTTCCCATGCCTTCAGCCACCCTTGCCATCCCTGTCCTCCAGGATATGCTATTGCAGCTTTTAAGAACTCTGCCAGGAGGAAAAATGATGGCGAGGGAAAGGTCCACTGAGAGCTGGTGCAAATAATCTGCCCTACCTCTTCTGCAGGCTACCCGCATCACTGATACCACTGATGCCTGGCATCACCCTGCCCGGCAAAGCCTGACATTCTGCTCAGGGCCTGTCCCAGCTGGCATCAGTCTAAACATAGTCCCTGAGGGGCTTCCAGGAGCCCCCAGGCTGGTCACATGAATTAACTCCCAGGGCAGGGTGCCTATTAGGCACCTCTGCTTTCTCTTCCAGATGAGTCCAGGACTAATTGGAAGACGAGGGGGAAGGCCACAGGTGGATGCCACAGAGCCATTACTGGCAGCCTCTTTCCTTCCCACTCTGGAGGGCTCAGGCTTCTCAGCTCTGCAACTTCTCCAGCTTCAGGAAGGCCTCACAGAGCCTGCACAGCCTGAACCAGAACATCTAAGGAATGATGGCTCTCCTAGCTGGACAAACAGTGCCGACACCAAGAAGCATTCTCCTACCTAGTCCTACAGCCCCTGAACTGACAGGGGAGCCTGGAGAATGGGAGTGAGAGGCAGATCAGTAGCCCACTCCAGTCTGGGACACAGCCATCTCCCTGGCTTCATCTCCACTCGGGGGAGATACGTCTGGCACTGGAGTCAAGACAGCACAACCTCAGCCTGGCATGGTTTCAGTCTGTCTACAGACCTCATGTCCCTCTGGGAGAGGTGAGCACCTACTTCTGAGGTTCGGCCACTGCCACCGGCCCAAAACGGGGCAGCCGACAAGTGGTAAATTCTAAGAGTAAACTCCAGGGGTCACACTTGTTATGCATAGACCAACATCAAACTGATTTTCTGTTTCAAGAGGTCAGCCTAGTGAGTTTAGTGGGCACTATGCTGACCTTTGGGCCACTTCAAGACTGCTATTAATATATATGATAACCCCACTTCTCAACAGTATAGGCCCCCTGGGCCAAATCTGCCTCAAATGAACCCTCCAAGCTGGCCAGATAAGAGGCTGAACCCCAGGTCTTTTATCTCTATATTTAGACTTTTGGATCCCCAGGCTCTGGCCATCCATGTACATGCCCACTAGATATTTATGTGAGGCAGAGACATTACCCAAGGTGGGTCAAGGGGACCTTTTGACAGACCAAGGCACTACAGTGATAGAAGCCCCAGCTTGAGTTTCTCACAGCCATTCTTCGTTTGCACATACAAGCCCTAAAATCCCACCCTGCCTCTCCACTGGAGTCACAGTCCAGAGGGCAGGGCCTCAAGCTGTCAGCTGAAGATGAGCCTCTCGCCCACCTTCTTGCCTCTGCCCGTGGCCATGAGCAAAAGCTCCTCAAGTGGAGCAGTTAACAGTTGGATCGTGATCCTCAGGGCAGTTAAATGGGGTTATGTGCACACATGAGCAAACACAGCTTGCTTCCCCTCTCTGTTCTGACTCCCACAAACTAGGACACATGGTCTCTAGAGACTCAAAGTGGAAAAAAAAACGCACAAAAAAGACTAACAGAGTCAAGGGAGACACGCACAAAAATACAACCAAAGTCACAGTCATAGACAGATACAATCACACACAGATCAGAAGAAAGTGCTTTGAAATGTGGTATTTACATTCCCCCATCTCCCTTTTAATTCCTTCTAGCTCTATGCCATGAGTTATCACTGCAATACCCTCACTTGCTGTTTTGAGAATAATGTGTCCTTAAATTAGCACTGCACACCAGATGGGCAAACTCCCACCCCTTGCTCCCTCTGACACCCAGACCTGGGAAGCAAAAAGCCAAGGCCAGAGAGGCTCCAGAGGCAACTCTTCCAGGATACCTTCTTTCTGTACCTTCCTAGGAATGAATATTCCTTACACAGAAGATCTCCAAGGCAACCCATAACTGACCCACAAAGCAGCCATGTCCCTTTTAGAAAGCTCAGCAAACCCTCGGGTTCCATATAACCTATAGCCAACTTTGGAGATTCAAAGCCCACCTCTCCTCCAACGCGGCCAGGACAAAACACCAAGCACCAGTCTGTGAGCAATGGACCTCACCTTCACTCACATCAGGAAACCACAAGAGATATTTGAAAAAGGAAGCAAAGGGACGGGACTCAGGAGGGGACTTCCTGCACCACTATACCCAGCGCTGCTGCTCAAACCACCCAAGGGGCCCTTTCCCGGAGGTAGTAAAGTGCGGAACGGTACAACAGGGCAGGGGAACCAGACTGGAGATTACCAACTCAAAGGAGCCAGACTAGGGCAGGCAGACCAATCCCTAAGCCATACCCACATCGGGGATGCCTCAGCCCCGAGAGGACTCAGTCAGGGATGCACAAGGACCACCCACCTTCTACCTCCGCCCGGCTTCAGGGGACCGTCTCCTCTCTCCGCCCGCTCCCGCCTCACCTACTGGGTTCCCTACTCGTTCCCAAACCCCCAAACCTCCCTGGTGTTTCGCCCCCCTCCCACCCGCAAAATCCGTCTTCCTGACCCTCAGCCCTCAACCCGTGCCTCCCAGACGGCGGCGCCCGCTGCCCCGGCCCCGTTCCGCCTCCTTCGCACCGGCTCCCGCCCCCGCCCCGCCTCTCGGCTACCCGCTCCGTAACTTCTCTGCTCCGCTCTCGCTCCCCGCGCGGCCCCTCACCCGGGTGGAGCCGATGTCCATCATCACCTCCTCGAAGGCCGCCGTCTCCTCGGCCTGACGCTGCTTCTGCAGCGCGATCTTCTCACTAAACTTGCGCGGATTAGAGGCTGAGGCCGTGGCGGAGCCGGGCCCGTTCGCCCCCGACGTCGCCATCTTCCTCCTCCGTCCCTCCCCGCCACCCTCCCAGTACAAGCCACGGCCTCCGCCGCGGGCTCCGGCCCGGCTCTTCCAGCCGTAGCCGCCGCCACCGCCTCAGCGAGCACCGCGAACCCGGCCCCAGCCTAGCCCTGACCTGCTGCGCGCGGGGGCCGCCGGGAACTGTGGTTTGTTTACTTGACTCCTTCACAGCCCCAGGCACACAGTACGGAGAGGAAACGGACCCCATTTCCCAGCAGCCCAGTTGACTCCGGGAACTGGGGACTTTGCTCCTCCCCCTCGGCTCCTCCCTGCGCGGGGCAAGCTGGGAAAAGTAGTTCTGGATTGGTCCTGAGACTCCGTACGCGAAGGGGAGAGGGATTAAGAGAAAAGGAAGAGGGAAGGGGAAGGGGTGGAGACAGGGAGGGAAGCAGGAAGAGACAAAAGAGGAGAACGTATGGTCATGTTCAAGGAAGGGGACCAGAGAGGCCTGAATGAAGAGTGAGCCTAGTAATAACTGAAACAGCTGTAAACACCTGAGACTCGGGCCCTCTCAAATTGGCCATGTGCCCACCCCTTTCCCAAAACAAACGAATCAGATACTGTACAGATGTATAAAAACATCTTTTATTTGGGTAACATGTCCCAAGTCAGTTAGTAAAATAGATTCTAGAGAATATGGTCCTATGCACAGTCCTCCGTCCCCAAAAATAACCCTGGGGTGAGCCTTCCCCTCCCGACCCCGGGCTCCTCTGGTATATAAAAAAGGTTTGGCAGCTCAGTGTTTTATCATCTGGGCATAGGCACCATGTCCATGTTCAGTATTCCTAGAGTGCAGTAGTGGTAGAGGGCTGTAAGCTCTGCCAACCCTCCCCCCACCCAGACCCCAAACATTTATGCCCCACCCCAGGATCTGGGACCAAAAATAAAGAGTAAGCAGGCCCCCTCCACGAGGTGTTGGGCAGGGCTCAGGGCCATCACTGTGCTTTAAGAAAAAGGGAGGGGATTTATTTGGCACTTTAAACATAGAGGAGTAAGCCAGACTAGAGAACTCATAGAAGGTATTAAAAGTGGCAGGAAGAGGTCATTTGGCACTAGTCCCCTGGGAGAGGAAAAGAGATAAATGACAATAGGAGGTAAAAAAGTAGGAGGGGTCTATTTCAGAGGGCTGAAATGGCTAGAACCAATAGGACTGCAGACTCTGGGCCTATGCCTTCTATGTACCTTCATCGCACAGCAGCTGGGTGCCCACCTCCAGCATCCCTAGTGTCAGCTTGTCCCTATGTCTAGTGTCTGATCCCAATTCTAGCACTCAGTGTCTTCTCCAATACTAATGACCCTTGATCATGTCTCTAGTGACTTGACCATCCCTTGTCCCTTGGGCCTAGGAGCCAGGCTCTTTTCTGCCCACTTCCCTCTCATTGGTCAAATAGTCCCAAAGGCTCCATCCCAACCTCCCAGAGAGCTCTTTGGTCCTCATTACCTCCCTTCCCCACTGCTTCCTATGCCTCACACACTGTGGGAGGGGAGGAAGGTCAAAGAGCACCTGATACCCAACTTCCAGGGGCCCTCTTGGGGCCCCCTAGACTTGGATGAAGAGCAGGCCAGTGAGCAGGGCAAAGCCGGCTAGGAGCAGAATGACCTTGAGGATCCTCTGCTCAGAAGCGGCCAGCTCCTGGGGAAGGATTTCCAGGAAGGTGATATACAGAAATGTGCCGGCTGCCATGCCCTCCAGCACAGACTGGGCCAGCTGGTGCAGTGGCCCAGCTGACTCTGCCAGAGCCGCACCCAGCCCAATGCCCAGAGGTGTCATGCACGAGAAGAGGATTCCACAGCCAGCCACCACCTGCACTCGCAAGTGGCTCTGCAGCAGCCGCAGAGACAAGCTGACTGCCAGGATACCCTTGTGGAGCAGCAAAGCCAGGCACAGCTCCATCGCCCGAGCCCGGTCTCGCTGAAGCCCCACTGCCAGCCCCTCAAACACTGAGTGCAGAGCCAGGGAGAAGACCAGTACACAGGCACGCAGGGCTGAGGGGGCTGCTGGGATGCCACCTGCCTGTGGGACCCCTGGCCCATCATGCCAGTGTTGAGGCCCACCATTCGCCGTTCCCAGCAGAGCCCTTGTCTCCTCTCGAGGTGGTGGCCCTGACTGCTCCTTGTAAGCCAGCGTGATCTGTTCCATCACCAGGACCAGGAAGAAGCCCATGGCCAGGATGAACTCTTGTAGGGGGAACTGGAGCTGTGGGCAAAGGGAGCAGCAAGGAGTTTAGGAAACAAGCCAAGAATGAGAAGCCAGATTCAGAGTCTGATGGAGTCCCATTTACGTGCACCTAGGATCTTCCACTGAGAAAGGGCCACTCTCGGTGCTAAAAGACAGACTTACTTGGTGACAGAGAGAATGACATACAATCACACACATTATGGCGCTATTCCCTGTTACATATAGACCAAAGTTTCTCAACTTTGGCACTATTAACGCTTAGGGCCAATGAGTCTGCTGTGGGGCTGTCCTGTGCACAGGAGGATGTTTAGTTGCATCCCTAGCCTCTACTCATTCGATGCCAGTAGCAGGCACAACACCTTCCCTCTCTGAGTTGTAACAACCAAAAATGTCTCCAGACAAGACCAGTGGCAAGGCTGCAAACTCACCCCCAGCTGAGAGTCACTGATATAGATGTATAAAAAGTGTCACATGTAGGCACACAAGCAAACGATCACAATCGGCCTACCTCCCTGAATGCTCACATGGGCTACATACCGTCACGGGGACATTCAGGTTTACAGTCACATGAAGACAGAGGTCACTCAGTCACAGGCACACAGATGGTTACATCCAGTGTTACTTCCTCAGTCTTAGGGAAAGAGAGGAAGAGCCCCGGTGCCTTCCTCGTCACTGCCCACCTGTTTCAGTTTTTCCTATGAGACTTTCCTATGCCGTGGACTCGATCTTCTCCACATCCTACTTCCCTGAGTTATGGCCTTTTTGGTCAGTAACACCAGGCCGCTGGGAATCGCCTCCTATCCTTTCCAGGCCTGTAGGGACTTCTATCCCCAACCCTCCAGGGAAGTGATAAGAGGGTAGAGAAGATTCTTAGAGCACTATTAACTTCTTGGAGGCTGGAACTGAGAAACACAAAGACTAGTTCACACACCTGGTAATAAGGCTCCTTACACTGTCTCAAAGGGTGCAGAGGGATCACATAGAGACTAGGGTGTTGGAGGCAGGGAACCCACAAAAAGCTATGCCTTGTGACTAAAAATCACAGTTCATAGGGTCACATGCCAAGAGGCTTCCACTGTCACAGAGTGACACGGGAAGAGATCCATACATCCACCTCTCCTAGTGGTATGCAACTGAACACACACACACACACAGGGTCCCATGGAGCTGGCCAGTGCTCACCGTCACGTGCAGGGCCGCCAAGGCCTCATCTATGGCAGCCAGGTAGTCAGGCAGCAGGTCCAGGAGACAGGTGGCCAGAAAGACACCCCCCGCAAAGCAGCTTACTAGGCTCAGGGCTTTTTGGCGGGAGGCTGGGCAGGAGTGGAGCACGGAGGATAATGAACAAATGAACCCCCTCCAGCCCCACCACCCCATCCCAAGCAATGGTCACTTTTGCCTTCCCCTCCTTAGGGCACTTTCCTCAGTCCCCGAGCCTTCCTTACATCCAGGGCAGCAGGGGAGAGGAGAGGCTTACCTGAGGCCTCGGGGCTAGCTCCAGGCCGGCGCAGCACACAGATGGGCACCAGACTACAGATGAGCGTGAGTGCCAGCAGCAGCACTAGGGCCCCCAACTTCACCTCCAGTCCCATGGGCACCGCAGGCTCCGAGGCTACCGCCTCAGGGCGCCACACCAGGAGCTCTGGCTCTCCCCAGGGCCCCATGGTGGCTGTGGTTGCTCCGATGACTCTTAGACCTAGGAGGGCAGAGTGAGTGGAGGATGATCGCACAAGGAGAGACGGGGCCATGGAAAGGGGAAGGCTAGTCAGCAGAGTCCAGCTCCCTTACCCCAGCCACTTTCTGACCTTTCCATGGCGGCGTGACTCACCCACTCCTTACTGGCAACACTCCCCTTTCCCCTCAGACTCTCTTCCAAGTGACTTTCGCAGAAACCCAGCAAGGGGGGAAACTGAGGCATAAGGACGGGGTACCTCAGGACCCTTTCACCTGGAGTTCTCAGGGAACTAAGGAGCTGGGGTCCCCCACGGAAAGTAAAAACCAGGCCCTTCCCCCCAGGAAGGAGTGGATGAAGAGAAGGGGGTTTGCGACTGTGGAGATGTGGCGGGTGGCCTCGCGGACCGCCTCGACAGGTTGTTTGGGTGCTGGATCGCTCTCCCGCCCCGTTTCCCAGCGCCATCCTCCACGAAAGCAGAGAGCGACTGCTTCAGGCCACCGGATGGGACCCCGCGTAGAGGACCAAAGAAGAGAGGCCCTAGGGGTCTGGGGTCCCGGAACAGGCTGACACAACCGAGGGCTGTGTCTGGAAGTCCGGGCTCCGCGAGGCAGGGTCCGAGGCCGCCAGCGTCGGGAAGCAGAAGAATGGGAGAGCCTGGCCTCTGGCTCCTAGGTCCCGGGGGGCCGGGCGGCCGACCCGGATGCTGCCCCGGGCAGCCCGCACTCACCTCGCGAGGGTCTCTATACTCGTCATCCGCTAAGTTCCGGCCTGGAGTCGGGAATTCCCGCCCCCTCCCCATTGCTCCTGCTCCCCACAGCTGCAGCGTACCCGTCCCGCAAACCAATGAGCGAGCAAGGAGGGCGGGGCTAGACTCGGAGCGACGTGAGCTAGGAGCAATCAGAGAGCGGCACCGGAGCCGGCGGGGGCTTCAGGGCTGAATGGGGAGGGCCTGGATCGGGGTTAGGGAGAGGACCTAGCTAGGGGCTATGGGCCTGGGGCGCTGCGGTGGAGGTCTAATGGGTCAGAGCTGGCTGGTCTACAAAGGCGTTGATTACTTGTAGATTTTAAAAGAGAAAGCTAAAAACCACATACCCACCCCGCATTCCCAAGTTTTCCGCCCTACAAGTCTGCGGAGAGCTGTTTGATCTTGGGCCTAAATCTTATCTAGCAATTGGAAGACTCCTAGGACCCCTTCTGTGCATCTTGGCGCCAAAGAGAAAGCATCCCCTTCTCAGGACTGGTTTCCCTCGCCGGCAACCACAAGAAAGAGAAAAGACAAGGCACAATCGGGAAAGGGCAATAGCAAAAGCAGGATAATTCTTGAAAATCCCCTATTTGACTGCCGGTGGCCTGAGCTGTCTTCTGTGCAGTTTTCTTGCCTTCTCCGAGTGGACGGAGAAATGCTAAGACCCAGCGCGGGGGCTGCTGAAACCCCACTCAGTGAAGAGCTGCTCCAACTTACTATTTGTACCATGCCTCAAGGCCTCTGCGCATCTCTCCAAACTTATCTCCGCTCCTCCTACCTGCAGCCCTTCTGGCCTCGCTTCTGTTCTCTGTTCCTTGAGTGCACCAAGGTGTTTTCAATTCAGAATCTTCACTGTGTCTTTAACCTGGATCCTCTTGGTCCGCAACCCTGTGTTATCAAAGTCATTTTCTAGCCTCACGGGTGTGTGTGTGTGTGTGTGTGTGTGTGTGTGTGTGTGTGTG